ACTGGAAAGCGACCGTTTCCTGGAAGAAAGATGTTTGTCATTTGTTTAGTGACGTGTTTTTTGATGTTTTTGGGACGGTTATATAAATTCTTTGGATTGCTTGTTTTCTTTTTCTTTTTCCACACCTCAGGTTCCACAGAACGAGAGGCCGGCAATGAGGCTACTCATGGACGATCCACGAATGGTGACACCCACAGGAGCACACGCCCAGAGACCGCCAAAGACGCAAACCAAAGCCCGCCGGATAATATTTCAATATATTTCAGGATACTTTGATATTTTACTATTTTTTGTACTATTTTGTTTTTGGGCTCATGGGTTCATTGTGGCTAGATTTAGATGGTAGTAGTTCTGTAAATGTTGCGTGTTTTTTTAATCTTTGAATATAATGAATCAGGAGCCTAGTAAGGGCTCCTGTACCCTACAATTTTTTTGTACACCACTAATGTCATCACCTGAGGTTCCGCAGAAGCAGGTGCCTACAAAGGGGCTACTGATGGGCAAGCCAGGAATGCTGATGCCATGCAGAGCACACCAAAAACCATAACGGCTGCAGAGAAGAGCACCTTTGTAGCAGGATTGTTTATGCTTTCTATGTTTATTTTGTTCAAGCAAGCTTTTGTTTTTTTGTTTAATATGTTTCTTTTCATGTGACCATAATTAATCAGGAGCCTAGTGAGGACTCCTGTACCCTCTTGAAAGGGATGGCACGCAAGAAAGATTGAGAGGACCTTTTAGGAATGTGTGATCATGTGTGATCCATAAATATTAATCAGAAGGGATTCAGGACTCAAGTACCCTCTGATTAATTAGCTTAGCAGAGGTTTTAACGTGTTTCAACAGTTTTCCGATGTTTTCCGTTGCTGTAGCAAACATCAAACAACTTAGGTTTGGCTATTCCTGAGTGCTTGCATGCCATTGAAAACAGTGAGCTCTTCAGTGTGGTGAGGCTGCCGCATTTAGCCACTCGCGTGAAGATGTGCATGGGCCGTTTCATTTTTGTTTTGCAGCTTCATTTAGCCATTCTTAATCATGTTCAGAAACATATTTTTGTTTCTGTGGTCAATTCAGGTCTACCTGGAGTCCACAGAGAACATGGCTCACATGGAATTCGATCCGCTACAGTTGTACCAAATGGATTGGAGCGCTCAGAGCCTTTTTGGGAAGGCCTTTGTGGAAGAGGCTTCTGCTATTTGGTGCTTCTGGGAGAGCTTCAAAGGTGAGCATGGAGATGATGTGGGCCCTGGCAACGCAATTGATGCTTTCCGCTGGATGCTGCCAGCCCAGCAATTCTGCT